TAGGTCGAACTTTTCATCTTTACATTAACTTCTATTACGACAGCGAATATTATTGTATTGAGAGTAGCTATTTGGTACAAATACAATTCAGAAACGTTTCGTACGTTGTATAATGAATGTTCATTTCAGTCACTGATCCAAACCGACAATGAGCCTACGTAAAACAGTAGCACAGTGCTACCATTTTAAATGACCTCAGTTATGGAGTTTTTTACGATTTCCAGCGGCGTCTCAATTGGGGCCGTAATAAAATACTTAATTACTCTGCATAATGCGTGTAACACTTCACAGTCGGGGAAAACAAAAGAACAGTTTCGATTTAAATCCCTTTTTTGTCTTAAACGATCTCGAATTCCTTAATTTACCTACCTCCACCCCTACCCTCCCAACCCCCGGTCTTAAGTCATTCTTTGCTTTAAACACGAAACTTCTAATTTGGGTAGTTTGAGTACCTATTCGTATATTACTTATGATTTAAAACTATAAGTTATTAATTAATCTTTAATTTAAATTTAACTTATCTAAAAAAGTTATCTAGTACAAATGTTCAGGAAAATACGAAAATACTTAAGCGTTTTGCCGTATCATACGTTCGTTAAGATTTTCTATTTCCATTTTAAAATCACGTTTAGCTGATGCTAGAGGTAGTTTTTCGTCGACGTTTTTGTTCGCAGCGAATCCCATTTAAAGTAAAATTAGATGATTTATATACATAAAGCTCAAAAGTTTCTCCATTAACTTGGACAAAAATTACGATGCAATTCAAACTTTTTATTAGCAGCACTAGCCGTGATATTTCCACTGCATTATATTTGATGTTCTGTTACAGCTAGGGAAAAATTACTCGCACAGCCAACTCATTATTACCTAGGAGGGATGGCTGAAAATTAAAACATGTTATTTAACGCTCAACTTTTTATTAAAATAATATTGTTCCACATTTACGGATACATATTCATCATTTCTTGTTGTGTGCTGATAGTGGGCTTACCATAAATGTCTTATTGTAGTGTATAAGTAACATTGTCACAAAGGCATTAGTTAGTTGAAGACGCACCTCCGCATATCCTTTTTATCCTGATCTTACGATTACACTTCCTCCGCCTCTCTGTACTCCTGTCTCTGCTTCTAATGTGTCTCTAACTGCCCCCTACTATGTCATTTCCGTATCTATTAATTTTCATAGCGTCCTCTCTTATCCTTATTTTCTCAATACTTCTCCCTTTCTAATCTTTTCTATCGACAGTATTTTTATCACCCGTTATCCTTTTTAATTAATTAATCCATCGCCATTCCAAAACTAATGTTAAAAATAACTCAGTCCTGCCCTATTGTTTGTTTTATGCTATACCTCTTGAAAATGCCATAAAATTAAGAAGTTACTAGAATAAATCCTAACAACATTTGCCCTCTGTATAAATATAATTTCATCTGCATGGTATATTATAACGCCGCCCTTCACAAATCTTGATTATTTAATAGGTAGCTCTTTTAATTTGTCGTTAACGGTATTGGTCGTGTAATTTTAATAAAATATGAATAATTGCTCAAGTGGTAGTGACTAGCGTGTTTAAAGTGTGATAAATATATTTTTCGAAAACCATTTACATTATGGGTAAATAACAACATTAAATGCGGTAATTTAGGTGACGTTTACATAAAAATTATCTCAAAACTACAGCTTCCCAATGCCATTATTCGTCCGGGACTTTTCTGTTTTTGAAATTCCAACGGTAATAAATTCATTCGTAACAAATGCATATTAGATTATCGGGTGCGTATAAATGCAATATTCGCATTCGATAATCACATTTCATTAAGCCTTTTCCCAATTCTGTTTTTATCCCCCAGACTACATGGGTGCACGCTACACATATGTATACGCGTGTAGCGAGTGAAGAACTTAGGGGTATTCTATTACATGCAATAATAATTGAAATTTCTGTAAATAATAAAGTAATATAAATCCAATGAATGCAATTTAAAGCTTCAGGGGGGTGTTACTTTTTGTTTAATAGATTTTGAGGATTCAGTTAGTTTAGGACAGTTATTAGAGAAACAGATGATATTTTGAAATAGACATGGTTGAAAATATATATTCCATACGTTCACCAAATTACGCATTTTCGCTCGTGAAACAACATAAATGCCCACAATGGCATATGTGCACAATTTGCCTTACCTGTATAATGAAAATGTTTCCGCCTGTGCCAAATTGGGTTTATGTGCCATGTGCACGTATGATTCTTAATGAAAATTAAACACCTTGACCTAGTTAAAAAGCTACATATTACTTTCCGGTAAAATAACCTTGCGTGTATCTGTGAAAAGCTATCAAAATTGCATCTAGGCACTGGACGGGAAATTTGATTCAATTTTCACACTCTCGCTGATGCTGTAAAAATGAAATTAAAAGACTATAACTGAAAGCTTTTTTCCTGTATTCTTTTTCGTTCGTTTTTTTTGACCTTTCAGAAAATAATTATGGGTAATTACTGTACAGAAATGATTTACATAAGTGGAAATTAAATGCTTAATAACAGAAAATTCTGTTTGTGGTGAAACACTTTGGGTTTGACCTCTTTTTCTAAGTTTATATTTTTGGTTTAACTCTATAGCCTACATGACTAATTTATAGCTGGCATTGATGTTCTATCTCATTTTATGGCGATTCGTATTAAAAAGGAAATTACGTAATCATGAATGTATATGTAATACCTACATTAATTTTCACAAGGCACAATTTTTTTTCACTTTCTTTACTTAAAAATTTGATTTTTGTTTTATTACAATTTAAGTGATAAGCAATTAATGCTGTCCTAATTCTGGTGTGAAAACCGTCATCAGTTAGAGTTGCTTCTTAACGTTTTGTCAGCAGCGAGCTTCTTCAGAGGTCCTAGACCCTAATCGGAACAGTATTAGTTCATCTACTAACCGCAAATGCCTTTACCAAATTAATAAGGAATTATTTTTATGAGAATTCGTAGAAACCTGAACACCATTGGTATTGTTTGGAGTGTAATTTAATGTATATTTAGTGTATAGTAAATATTGCCCTCCTTTTAAATGAGAAGGTTAAATAAAAGAAGAAAAGAAAAAATTTTTCGTGGTAACGGTTGTTCGAAAGGACTCTCCTACCGACACTTAAGAAAAGTTTAATGTGTGTGCCGAAGCACTTATTCCGTTTGTCCTTTACATCCTTTGCATTACTTTCCATCCAATTCAGCTTGTTAAGTGCACCTGAAAAATTCAGGACTTTAAACTTCTCAAACATTCCTCAGTTAGACAGAGCGTGAAATTCAACCGAATTCCGCTTAAACGAGAAACATTTACCAGAGGTTAAAATATTCATTGAAAGGTTTCGTCGCGTTTAAATCGCGTAACAACCAACCACCAGGATTAAGTTACCCAACTAACCAATCGCAAAATAATTTCGAGCAAAGGGTATGTATTCCGGATGCTGGATTGGCCTTTCCAACAGGAACCGGACGTTATCAAAGTATTAAGACAATTGGAAACTGTAGAGCTTTTGTTGAATACACTAAATAGATCCAACCCTAAACAGTGAACATTCGAAGGTATTTTCGATAAGGGTCCCAAAAGTCGTATTTTGGTGTTGGGGTTTGACCTATTTAGTATCAATCTTCGTAATATTTTGATAAAACTCAGTTGAAAATAATTCGAAGTGGTCTGTATTCTGTCGAAACTGCCAGACGCGGATCGCGATTTCGATCTTTTTGGATCTCATCAGCGCGTCGCAGGCAGCTCCGACAGAACACAGACCAACTACAGGTTGACTACGCCGGGATTCGTTTTCAGCAAATAGATATCCAAACAAGTGGACCTTGTTGGAGCATACGTAATCTTAAAACGTAGCATCGTGCTACAGATGGCGTTTACTGCGCCATTTGTTGTATTTTCTAAAAAGCTCAGTTTGTTTTGAAAGAACAACAACAGTAGACTGGATTACTGTTTACCAATATTTGGAGTCCTTCGTCCAAATAGAGGTGCGTGTCCTACCAGTCTGTGAGTCGAAGGCATTATAATGATGGGATGTTTATAACATAATATGCGAATACAAATAACGTGGACGCACTTTCGTGATTCTATGTAGCACAATAATTTTATTTAATCTGTTTTTGACTGCTACTTTTTTTAATTTATAATTTATAATCGACGCCTATGGTATCTGGGGGTCGAGGCCAGGGCTAGCGTTTGTATGTATGTATAACAAACGCTCTGACGAACTCTATGACATCTCGCACGTTAATTCTTATTACACATATTCATGGCATACACACACGCGTTTACACAGACAGACCTAAACATGTATGTGTGTGCGTGTATGAATACGTGATGCATATCAAATGCCTAAAACAAAACGTCTGTTTGTGCACATGTATGTGGGTTGAAGTTTGTTGGTGTAGATGCCCGCGAACACAACTTCTTCGGATTGTCTGTCTCGCAAAAGTCTACTTATTGGCTTTATTAACGATAATGAAAACAAAATGTGCCGTTTCGCCCGTATGTTTGCGATCTTTTTCAAAGAAATTGTATTACATCGAAATGACATGCTTTATACATAGGTCAATCAGGAAGATCCACTACAATGAGACTTAATGGGTACCTATATACAATAAATAAATATATAAAAAGCTAACATCTATCTCTTAGTATTGTTCAAGTTATATATATTCAATTAAATTACTAGACAGTATACCAATAAGTAAAATGTTAACTTATATGAAACCTCAGATATCAAAATATTGGAAAAAAATGCCAGCCTGGATAGCAACCAAGAAATTACACTTTTTTGTTAATTTTCTTGGAAAATATATTGAACGTAGAATACCTGTGAAACGTATTAACCCTCATATTTTCTTTTATTAGTAATTTATAAATTAGCAGAAAGAAAAACAAAGTGAAAGAATATCATTAAGTTACAGTAAATATAAACAGTTGGATTGCTTCAAACTGAGTGAAGATTCTTCTTGTTTCAGTGCAATGAAAATTTTACTTGCAAAACTACCTCGACCATGGATTGTCGACGAAAAGAAAGACGACGGATATACCGCCCTTCACCTTGCAGCTCTCAATAATCACGTCGAAGTAGCTGAACAGCTAGTTCTCAATGGAAAAGTCAACATGGATTTGCAAAACGTCAACCTGCAGACGGCCCTGCATCTTGCTGTCGAGAGACAACATACCCAAATAGTGAGGGTGAGTGAATCATAACGATTTTCTGCGTCTCTAAAAATTTGACTTAAAATTTGTAAAAATACGGCATAACTATTATTAAGGGTCTCATAAAGGTCTTTTGATTCAAACTTTTACTTTCGTACATTATTTTTTAAAATTGTAGTGACGAAAACAGTGTCGTCAAATTTTTCATATAATTTTTTATAGTAGACAATAAGGTATTCTTCGGAAAATTTAGGAGTATTCTTTTGATACAATTTCAAAAACAGACAGGTATATTCAAAAAAATATTATTTAAAGAAAAACTAGATTCGCATGTTTATAAAAATTCAACCTTCGCTGTTTATCGATCTCGTAAAACGTTCGATCTTATTGCTTCGAAATTTCCTTAGTTACTAGTGAGAGAGGGTGCAAACTTGAACATAGCCGACAAAGACGGTGACACCCCTCTTCACGAAGCCCTACGTCACCACACACTATCTCAGCTTCGTCAGTTACAAGACGTCCAGGACGTCGGTAAACTCCTGATGGGTTTGGGAACTCAAGGATCCGATAAAAAATCGTCGGCAAGCATCGCCTGCTTCCTAGCGGGTAACGGGGCCGATTTGACCATAAAGAATAAAAAGGGTCAAACTCCGTTAGACTTGTGCCCCGATCCGAACCTTTGCAAAACGCTGACCAAATGTCACAAAGAGAAAAAGAGCGAAGAAATGGAATTGCACCCCCATTCCAACCAAAACGTCAACACGAATACGTCCACAGTTGATGAATGCTTGGTATGTTCGGACGTCAAAAGGGACATACTGTTCCAACCCTGCGGGCACGTTTGTTGCTGTTCCAGTTGTGCCCCTAGGGTCAAGAAATGCCTCATATGCAGAGAATCGATTACCAATAGAATAAAGGTAGTTATCGTTAATAAGATTTTCCTGACTTCAACATTCATTTCGTATTTATTTGGTCTGCAGATCGAGGAATGTCTGATATGTTCTGATAAAAAGGCGTCGGTTTTGTTCAAACCCTGCGGCCATATGTGCGCCTGCGATAGCTGTTGTCAGCTAATGAAGAAATGCGTGCTGTGTAGGGCCCAGATCGAGCTCATGGTCCCGATGACCGTTTGCTCAGGAGGTCTGGGAACCATATCGGAGGTCAAGGCGGATCCGGAAGTCGAACCGGCTCCGTCGACTAGCGAACCACAACTGATACAACCCCCGCCCTTGATGAACAACGCGCCCAAAGTCACTAACAATGATATACAAAAGCTTCAGCAGCAATTGCAAGATATCAAGGAACAGGTAAAGATATTTTATCGGCTTGTGTTGTAGGTCAAAAATTAGGGTCGTCCGTTTTTTTTTTCAGACGATGTGTCCCGTGTGCCTGGATCGTCTAAAGAACATGATTTTTTTGTGCGGTCACGGACTTTGTCAAATGTGCGGAGATCAAATGGCCGAATGCCCCATATGTCGAAAAGCGGTCGAAAAAAGAATTTTACTTTATTAATCGTTCTACTATTTATAGGTCAAACAAAAGTATTTATATTGTTTTTAATGTTTAAATTTACCGCGAATGAGTGCGCAAAAACTGATGTATTTTATTTTAACAAATACTCACTTAGTTTGTAATTATCACATGGTGAAACTTTCTGGAACCGTGTGGGAAAACTTTTTTATTTATAAATATCTAAATATTCGCAACTTCACGTCGTGATTTTCGAGTAGTTTCAAACTTCGAACCGTCGAAAAAATTGTTAATTAGTTTTTGTTCTCATTGACTTTGTTACGTACACCTGTACATTTTTCTAACGTCAAAGGATTTTCCGTACACCTCTCGTACTCGTACATGGCAAATTCCGTCCGACATTGACAGTACAATTCCCCTGTTATTGTGTTAATGTGTGGCTATCGAGTTGTTAATTTGATAAGGCTTGAAACAAAAAACGGTCCGAATCATCGAGGGATAAAAAAAAATGTGAAAGACAAAACAAACGTTGTAGTGTTGTACAGCTCGTCGATGTATTCGCTTCGCTACGAAAAACGTTTTGTTGTTTGGCGCAACTATCCTGATTTTAGTTGTTGTTTTTACTAAAATTACCGAAATTTAATATGTTGGACTATTACACAATTAAAGACTTTCGAAAATGGTGTCTTCTCTCTGTAATTAAACCGAACAAATGCGTTGAATTCATCTGGAAATTGCAAGAAGACGATGCTGGATCAACCTGAACTGGAAAACAGAGGAAATTGAAGCCATGGAGGGATAGAATTTATTATAATTTGATGTAAGTACTTTTTATTTTGTTATTTTTCTCTTTTTATTAACATTAACCTTCCACTAACTGTCGTATGAAATTTGTGTGTAATTAAGGCACTTGTCATAATTGGAGCCCTGAATATTAATATTTAGTGGTTTTTGAACGCAATTTTCGATTTTCCATTTAATTAAAAAGGGAAAAATTTGTTTCAGTTACTTTTGAATTTTGTAGCTCAATAACGGGCCAATGTAGATACGTAAATGTACGATACATATTTTAATAGGGAATTAAATCCTCTGCTAAAAGGTCTCTAATAACTTTTTTATAACTCAACTCCTTCAAAAGTTATTCATAGTTAAAGTTTAAATCGCGTAAATTTTCTTTTTTTTTTTTTTTCGATGTTATTACCGTTACTTATCACAAAATGTTGTTTTTTACAATACATTTCAATCGTTGAAAATGAATAAACATAAATGATATAATTTCATACCGGTTGAGATGCTTTAATAAAAAAGCCCGCAGCATTTTGTAATAATTGTCTAATAGTGTCAATTAGTTTTTCGAAGGCTTATAAACTTTAACCACAAATAACTTCTGAAAGGGTTGAGCTATAAAAAAATTATAAAAGATCCTTTTTGTATAACATTAAATTCCCTATAAATCCATTGCTCCGAAATAATAACTAAAACTATTTGAATGGAAAATATATTTAATTATGGGTCACATCGTTTTCATTGGTTTTCAAACGTACTTATACGTTTTTATATTTTTTATATTAAAAAAGTTTTAAAAAAATAATCATGGCAATCGTGACAGTAGCGTCATTAATGATGTTTAGAGTCGTTTAATTGCGTAATTGACCAACAAACCGGAATTATTATCGTCAATTAATTCTTCGTGCATTATAATTTGCTATTATTAATTAGGCAGTAAAATCTGACCGGCATACAGATGGTGTCTAGTTGTATTTCGATTCAGAAAATTTGATTTGTATTATGCGAATTTCATTGCAAGTGTAATGACCTGTTAATTAAACAAATGAATAATAAAACACATGAATGTATAAATTATATGTTTATTAGAACAGTAACGGTACGGAGCTAAAAATCAGCCTCGATTATTATTATTAAAAATAACATCATTCCTTGAATACAATTTAAAATAAATATAAAATAAAATTTTAATTAACGAAAATCGACAATAAATTATTAATGATGAGAGGAAAAAGCCCATGTAAATTTTCGACCTGTAAATCAATTATTTTTAGAAGCGTAGTGGATGAAAAATGAGTAAAAATATGTGTAGTATTTTGTGGCGGTCATATCCCTTGAATGCAGTTCATATAAAAATAAAATAAAATTTAATTGATGAAGAATTAATAAAAATTATTAACAGAACAGGACGCACATAAATTATCAACTTGGAATATATTTATTTTGCACACCCTAAGGGTTAAAAATATATAAAAGTGTATGTTGGATTTTGTGGTGGTATCATTTTAACATATTTTGCACTCCTCATACTTCTCAAAATAATTGTTTTATTGGTTGAAAATTAACATGCGCTTTTTTCTGTTAGTAATTTTTATTTCTTTTTTCGTCAATTAAGAATTTATTTGATATTGTTATTTGTTCTCACCACCACAAAATCCAACATAGATTTACATATTTTATAGGCCTTACAATGTTCAAACAAAATGTTTTACACGTCGAAAATTACGTGCGCTTTTTTCTGTTAATGATTTTTACTCTTTTCTTTATCAATTAAAAGTTTATGTTATATTTATTTTAAATTACACCCAAGGGCTGTTTCCACCACAATCCTCCATACATTCTAACATACTTTTCACCCCCTACGCAACTCAAAATAATTGTTGTACAGGTCGGAAGATTATGTGCGCATTTTTGTGTTAGAAATTTGGACTCGTTTTCCGTTAACTAAAATTTTGTTTCATCTTTATTTCAGACTATACCCAAAAACTGTTATCATCAATTAAATGAGGGAAAAAATGAGAATCAATAATGTTTTATTTTATATGCTAGGTGGATGGCATCAATTTTATATTTTAAATTCTGCTCAATGATAGAGTATCTATTAGTGTCTTTTTATCTATGTCATGTGTATCTATGGTCATATCTGTGTCATGTTTGTCTTTTGTCTATATTCACAGCAATTGATAGATTGTCTATGATTTATAGTAAATAATAACGTCATTTGCATTTTTTCTTTGGGTGTGTTTTTATTTTATTTCACAACTTGTTTAATTAATAACGTAGCTAATTCGTTTTTTCTTTTTATCTTTTGCAGACTGACCGATAAATAAAAGCGTATTGATGTTTTTGATACTACTAAATATCGAGAAATGGATGATGTGGTGTGATATACAGTTCTTCCTGCACTTCTTTTGCACTTCCTTCTTCACTTGAAAACATCATTATTAAGGTAAGAATGTATGTTATAATTAAAATATTGAATTAAAATTTAAAGATAGACAGTAGTTACTAGTGTTTAATCAATCTAAGTGGTTCCATTGGTATATTTATAATAAAAACATCTGCTTAACATCACTGTTTGATATTCTGTTATCACATTCTTTACTATAGGGATTAACATTTAAAATATGTGTAATGTAACACTTTATTTTACAGGAACATTATCAAAACTTGAGACTGTGCAGTTGGGCATTGATTGTAATGGCATTTCACTCCAGATATTCCAATGCCTTTTCATTCACAAAAAAACAAAAACAAGAGGAGTAAGTAGCATTTTCAATTACTAGTATTTGTATAGGTTTCTGAAAAAGAAAATAATTTCTCCTTCATTAATTCTCCAACACTTTCACTTATCATTAGTATCACACATGCTAATTTTTTGTCTATTGATTTATTAGTATAATTAATGTTAATTTGTTTTCTTTTACCTTTTTTACAGTTTGAGGGATGATTGTTTTGCTTATTGCTTACTAACATCAGGACTTTCTTGTATGTCTGAAGAGTTCTTCCAGCCAACATAGGAATCTGTCTACATATTCACGATTATGGAGACAATCTGATGAAGCCAACAAAGGAAAAGTAAGATTTATTCACCATTTTCTCTTTTATCTACCTTATTAATTAGATCTTCTTTACATATTTTCATTCATGTGATTTACTTTATGACTTCTTCAAAAACCTAATTACTTTTTGTTAGCTATCTTTTTATGTTTGTCTTTACTTATAAATCTTTTCTTTTTATGCTTTTATTTTACTATGGGGGTTGAATTAACATTTAAAATATGTGTAATGTAACACTGTATTTCATAGGAACATCCTGAAAACTTGAGTATGCCAGTTGGCCATTGATTTTAATGGCTGTTTCATTTAACTCCAGATGTTCCAATTCCATTTCATTCATGAAAAAAAATTTCTCCCTTATTAATTCTCCAACACTTTCATTTATCATTAGTATCACACATGCTACTTTTATGTCTATTGATTTATTAGTATTATTAATGTTAATTTGTTTTCTTTTACTTTTTTTACAGTTTGAGGGATGATTGTTTTGCTTATTGCTTACTAACATCAGGACTTTCTTGTATGTCTGAAGAGTTATTCCAGCCAACATAGGAATCTGTCTACATATTCACGATTGTGGAGACAACCTTTGACAAAGCCAACAAAGGAAAAGTAAGGTTTATTTATCATTTTCTCTTTTTATTTACCTTATTAGTACTTCTTTACATATTTTATTTCTTCTGATTTACTTTGACTTTTTCGACAACCTAATTACTCTTTGCTAGTTATCTTTTTTGTGCTTGTCTTTACTTATAAATCTTTTCTTTACTTATTAATATTTTCTTTTTATTTACATTAACTTAATTTCTTTTATTTTTATTAAATCTTTTATTTACTAAGATAAGGACTTTTTTTACAGGTCACAGGTATTCCAACACCTATTTACAACTCAGAACATCCAGGAGAGCCAGAGCTACCACACAGAGCATGGTGGACGTGGAACTATCCCACCGGAGATTTGGAGTCACGACACCAAGAACCAAGACGAACCAGAACCACAGTCACACCAAGGCTACCCAGGGTCAGTAATGGATATCGGACCAACCCAATGGATCAATCAGGACATCAAGATCACCAGGACAACGTTGGACATCGAGGGACCGGACGTGGAGACTCCGGGGTCCGAAGTCTACCGCGTCCGAATACTCCGGGGTTGGAAGACATCGGGATTTCCGCGATCCTCAGTCAGGTACGAGGGCTTCAAACTTTGAAGACTTCGAAGTTTGAAGAACCCCGGGTGCGAAGACCTCGAAATTGGTAAGTCTGTGGGTTCGACGACTTCGAAATAAGAAGTCATACAGGAGAGTCTCCGGTGTTTGAAAATTCCGGAGTAGGAAAACGCCAAAACTATTTTGGCGTTTTTCGACTTCGAAATATTCGAACTTCGAAAACTTTCAAGTGTGTGACCTTCTTATTTCGAACCTTTGAACTTCACAGTCTTTCTAATTTCGAAATCTTTATAACTCGGGGTCTTTAAACTTCGAAGTCTTCAAAATTCGAAACCCTTGTACCTGACTGAGGATGGTGACCGATGTTCCAACCCCGGGAGTCTTCGAACGCGGAAGGCTTCGAACCCCGGAGCGACGGGGGAAGGGGAGGGCCGCGAAAAGGGTGGGGTCGCGAGGGGCGCGGGAAGGGGAGGGCCGGGAAACGAAGGGGGGCGGTCGCGAAGGGGGAAGAAACCAGAGGGGGGGTGTATTGTAATTTTTTTTTAATAATAAAACAATGTAAAGTTATTTTTTTATTTTTGAATGGTGCATCCCTACATCTGCCCGGGGGGACGAGCGTGTGTCCCCCCCTGTTCGCCCGGGGGGACGAGACGAGTGTCCCCCCTGTCCGCCCGGGGGGACGAGTGTCCCCCTTTACGCGTGGGGACCATTTTTAGCAGGAGTGAATGCCCTCCCATGTAGTAACAGCCACCATCCAATGACCAGGAACTGTCTTCCAAGAAGTAAGAAGTTCCTTACAACTTCTTGGATCACCATTCAGAGGCTTAACTTATACCTGTGCAAACAGGAATCACTTTCAAATTGCTTAAAGATGATCCTATCGGCAGAAGATGCGGTACAAGTACCGAATCTCCCGCGGACAGGATCACCTTCAAGCAACTTGAAGGTGTTCCTATTCGCAGAGGGATAAGTCTTACCTATGAGTGGTGATCCTCGATGTTGGAAGGGACCTCTTACCATTGGAAGACGGTTCCAGCCATTGGTAGATGGCCCTTACCGTTGGGAGGGATTCGCACCCGTTAAAAACGGACCCCCCGAAGGTGATCCCACGATGGATGGTGTCCCTGATGTCCTGGAGCCGTCCTGATGTAGACTTGACGTCCCTGATGTCCTGGAGCCGTCCTGATGTAGACTTGACGCCCCTGATGTCCTGGAGCCGTCCTGATGTAGACTTGACGTCCCTGCTACCTGTAAAAAAGTCCTATTGTTAGTAAAAGAAATAAAACAAATGTAAACAGAAAAGTGTTATTAATAAAATAAAAGTGTTATTAAGGTATAAGAAAGAAAGATAAAAAATTTAAAGAACAAATATCCTACCTTGAAGATAATCAGGTAAAGATATTTTATC